TTGTATTGTTAACAGAAGAATATCTGTCTTTTAGCTTGGCGTTTGACAAAATCGTGATATCTCTTTGGAGAATATGGAAACACTGAGTGTAGCTGACACTCTCGTTAGGCTAGTTGAATGACCCCCTCAAAAATATAGCTGCTAATCATTATATTCTTTAGGCCAGGACACATATTTTGAGCCCTATATCTACTACAGTACCAGATATCAGTTTTTACTGATTACATGAATGAATATTTACATAAATTAACAATGTCCACCTAGGAGGAGGTCTCTAGGGGAATACCACAGGGCTTTCTTCAAGTTTCAGAAGTTTGGGTGAAGCCTTGGGTCCAGAGAGAATGATAAACAAAAACTCTGTGCCCAAGTTAACAAAATGAAATTCAGTGTAGAAAAAAATCTTCACTTGGGGCTTCCCTGGTGGCGCAGTGGTTGAGAGTCCGCCTGCCGATGCAGGGGACACGGGTTCGTGCCCCGGTCCGGGAAGATCCCACATGCCGCGGAGCGGCTGGGCCCGTGAGCCGTGGCCGCTGGGCCTGCGCGTCCGGAGCCTGTGCTCCGCAATGAGAGAGGCCACAACAGTGAGAGGCCCGCGTACCGCCAAAAAAAAAAAAATCTTCACTTGGATTTTTGAGGACATAAGCCCCAGCCCTACCCTATCCAGGATGATAGAGTAAGGAGGGGAATCGGGGTGGAGAGTGGTCTGTTCTGAGTCTGAACCTTCATATGCTGAAGGTGATCTAGACAGATGTGAGAGGACAGAGCTCACCCAAGGATGGGTCTTCACCCTCATCTACTCCCCATGAAATGGAAATGGAAGTCAGTTGGTTCATAGTCACAGTTTTAAAGGCACAAAGCATTCTTTAGGTTCTGGTGTTCTGGCAGAAAGAGGAATCAAAATAAGAAAATGGACAGGGAAAGAAGACCTCAAGCAAAAGCAAATTCAGAGCAAATTTAGAGGCCCATCCCCTTCTCAAATTCTGTAAGAGCATACGCTCTGGAGCCACCTGTGAGCTGTGTGACCTTAGGCAAGTCACCTAAACTCTCAGAGCCTCAGTTTTCTCATCTGCAAAATAGAGATCATAATGATCATAATGATTGTGTCCACCTCCAGAATTGCTGTGAGAATAAATATGTTCTTATACCTAAAACACTTCGAGTGGTGCCTATGAGCACTGTGTGTTAGCTATTATTACGATTATTGTTATTGCTATTATTAAAACTTAGAAGGATGCTATGATTTGTTACAATAAGAAAACTGTAGTTAACGGGGTCCCTATACTCCAATCCCTTCGCTACCAGCAAACAAAGAAAAGTCGTAAAAGTGTAGGATGGAAGAGATGTGGCTTTGCAGCATAAGTAAAGAAGCAGACTTAAGCTGTTTTTGCATGTACTGAACACATTGGACCAAGCTGACATTGCAGTTTGAAGATGCTGAGGCCTGTGCATTCACTGCCTCTAGGTTTTATAGTTTCACTAAGTTTCATATTGCAAAGCTGCCTTTAGCATCCTCATGCTATTTCCCAATATCAGTCCCTCATTACGGCTTTCATCTACAAGTTGAGATTCATTTTCCTAAGATGACAACAACTGTGTTTTGCATCTTCCTCCAACTCCATTGAGTGTGAGTGTAGCATTCAAGCATTCGGGAATGACTCGTACTCCCTCCCAAGACCTGGCCCTCCCCCTCCCCCTCTAGCCTTGCCTGGTTCCCTCCCTCGGTGCCGCGCTGGGTGCCAAAGGCTGGGCAGAGCTCTGTTCCCCAGGCTTTCTTTTTCTTGACCTTACCCGAAGTGCCATTCACTTGATTTTTTTTACCGTGATAAATGTTAGAATGCTCTTGCCTGCATGAAGCCTGCTGTCAGGGTCCTCCCTGATTGAAACTTTTATTCTAGGGGTTACCACATTATGTTTTATGTAGGTGTACGAGCCCCTTCGTTAGCTTTCAAGCTCTTTGAAGCAGGGACTGAGTTTGCGCACTTTTGCTTTGCCAACTCAGGGTCAGTTTGGGGTCCTGAATCCCAAGAGAGGCTCACGTAGTGCTGAATTGCCTTGATTGGAATTGAGGGAGGACAGACACGCACCCTGAGCTTGCCGATCCTTGGGCCTGTTGGTGCCCCTGTCCGGCTGGCCAGGGCGGACTGGCTGAAGAAGCTGTGTGAGCCTCTGTCTCCCCCTCATTCTCATCTCGATCCATAAACTCCTCCAGGAATCTTTCCTCCCTTCGTTCACACTCTTAAACGGCCCTTGCTTTTTCTTCCTGTCTCTTCTGACTGGCTTTGCTTGCTCACGAAAGAGCCGAGTCACTCACTGCACTTTTCCACCATCTCTCCTCATCTGTATTTCTCAAACTATTTTTTTCCTCTTCCAGACCCTTTTCCTCTATCAGCTTCAGGAATAGAAAATGGCATCACTAGCAGAAAATGTTTTCCCAAGTTGGGGAGGACTGGGAATGTGTATGGAATGGGAATTCACCGAGGCTGCATTTAAACCAGATGCGAGTCTTTGGCCCTTGTTTTCATTCTATTCAGAAAGAGTTTAGACAAAATTCTTATCCTGCCATTATGGAAATAATTGAGTTAGATGGCTCCTATGTAATCTAAGCATTTTTTCAAGAGCTCGAAACTGTTTTTGGTTCAAGAAAACGTAGGTTGACACTAAGCTTTGTTTTAGCCAAGGTTTAGGAAAGGTTCTAAGCTATGGTATGTATACTTTGATAAATTTCACAGACTAGAGCTATGGGTTATAATATGGTTTGTTCTTCCAGTATTCAACTAACTTTAATCTAACTTACAATTCCAATGAAGGCTGGATTTACTCACCAGCCAGTTCAGCTAGCTAAAACTATAGATACCATCCATGACCCTGTTATTTAAGGGCAATTCAAAAATCATAAATAGAAATTCAAAAGGAGAGCTTGATTTTGCAAGACAGAATTCGATGCCATGAAGCAACCCTCTCAGAAATTTGCCAGAGACCTTGTGGGTCTTAAAATATTCTCTGTTTTCTACCAGCCAGATTTGGCAGCTTGAGAGCTATTCATCACAAATAATGACAAATATTTTACCAAGTCACAAAATGTTGCTGTTTATTTTGGTATTAAATTTGTTCAAATTTTTAACTAGGAAAGTTAGTATAGTAATATGATGATTATATAGCAAATCTCAGGAAAAGTATTACTCCCTTACTGAGCATTTTAGCAAATATCTCTTGACACTAGCTATGTGTAAGGTATTATATTAAATATTTCTGATAATAAAAATGTGGATTGAACTTGATGTTTGACCACAAGAAGGAAGAACTAAGACATTATAATATGGTGAGTGCCATAGAACACTTGCTAAAATGCTCTGAGGAATGAACTCGTGTAAGAGTTTGCTTAGTGAGTCAGAGAAGGCTTTATGAAGGAAGTGGAATATCAGCTTCAGTGATTAGCCAGATGATAATATGTGAAATATGTGAGAAGGGGCATCTAGACAGATGAAACATTATTAACGGAGTCTCTGAAATAGTATAGTATGGAGTACAGGCAATATGGTTGCGTTTTAGTTTTTGTAAATGAAAGAGAGCAGCTGGAGATGAAGCTAAATTCAGTAGTTGAATTCATGGGTTTGAAATCCCAGATTAAAACTTTGGTAGGTAGTGGGGAATATTTTATCCATTCTTCCACTCTTTAAACAACTTCGGAACTGTATTTTAGGTTAATTAATCTGCCCTCAGTGAGTAAGCTTGATTGTGGAGGAAGAGAAATGGAGTTTGGAAGACCAGTTGGGAAGTTATTATAATGGTCTAGTCAGAGTTCATAAGACCGGCACTAGGCTGGGAAAAGCAGGATTGGAATGAAGGGGTAGAATTGAGAGACATCCTATAGTGAAAATTTCTAGGAGTTAGAACCTGATTGGAAGACGAGAGGAAGAAGGAAGGGAGGAGTTAAAGGTAACTATGGAGAGTCAAGCCTGAGAACTGAGAGCACTGAAAAAGTCAGACAAGTCAAGTAGTAATGGGTGGAAGGTGAGTCCAGCTCTGTGTGCTGTGGGATGGAAGGTGAGTTCAGCTTTGCTAGAGGAGCATGAATGTACATATATATGTCCCCCGGTGGAGAGCTGGAAATGTGAAATTGAAACTCAGGCTGCAGTTTGAAATACAGACTTGGGACTCATTAGCTTAAACGAAACGGTGGAAAGCGTGGGAGGGAAAATGAATACCAAGGGGGACCATAAAGAGAAGATGGCCAAGGACAGGACACTGGAGGGAAGGTGGTCTACTTTTAGGTGAGAGAAGATGAGCCAGAATCGAAATAGTCAGTGAGGTCAGGGAAGAGCCAGAAGACTTAGTATCATAAAAAGCTGGACAAGAGGGAGTTTCAAGAAAGGAAGGGTCAGGTAATATCCATGGAAAGAGAGAAGTGAGGAAGATGAGAATTGAGCAGGAGAAATTAAACGTGGTAGGTAAGAGTTCATTGGTGACCTTCACAAGAATGGTCTTAGAACTGTGAGTTGCTGGAGTGTATTCTATTTGTAAATCTAGAGTTTGTTTGGGACCTATTAAGTGTTCTGGATTTTTCTGTTTCTTTAAAATAACAGATAATGAAGGATGATGTGTGTGTGTGAGAGAGAGAGACAGAGACAGAGAGAGAGAGAGAGAGACAGAGATAGAGAATATGTGCATCTTGTGACCAAGGAACTGTTTTATATAATTAAGTGATAAAATTATTTAAGTAAAATATACCTTGAGCTCACGTTTCATTAATAATAGAAACACTAATTCAGCCAAAAAAGGAAATCTCCAGAATTTTACATTAGTCAATAAACAAAACTTCTACCCAAATTAAAGACTTATTCGTCGTCCCCATTGCATTACACGAAACAATAACAACAATATACAGCATTGGCCAAAATGTTCGTTCGGGTTTTTCCATAACGTCTTATATAAACAATTGCTGAACTGCTGTGCATAGCTCAGAACATACTTAGATTGTCGTCTTTTTCTCTTCTTTTCAGCATAAAAGACTGAACTATGATAGCAACTGGTGGAGTGATAACTGGCCTGGCCGCCTTGAAGAGGCAAGACTCTGCCAGATCGCAGCATCATGTCAACCTCAGCCCGTCGCCTGCTGCCCAGGAGAAGAAACCAGTCAGGCGTCGACCTCGGGCCGATGTCGTGGTTGTTCGCGGCAAAATCCGGCTTTACTCCCCATCTGGTTTCTTCCTCATTTTAGGAGTCCTTATTTCCATTGTAGGAATCGCAATGGCAGTCCTTGGATATTGGCCTCAAAAAGAACGTTTTATCGATGCTGAGACGACATTGTCAACAAACGAAACTCAGGTCATCCGGAGCCAAGGTGGTGTGGTGGTTCGCTTCTTTGAGCAGCATTTGCATTCTGATAACATGAAAATGCTTGGCCCTTTCACAATGGGGATTGGCATTTTCATTTTCATTTGTGCTAACGCCATTCTTCACGAGAACCGTGACAAAGAAACAAAAGTCATACATATGAGGGATATCTATTCCACAGTCATCGACATCCACACGCTAAGAATCAAGGAGCAAAAGCATATGAATGGCATCTACCCTGGTCTAATGGGGGAAACGGAAGTAAAACAGAATGGGAACTCCTGTGCCTCAAGACTGGCAGCAAATACCATTGCTTCTTTTTCAGGTTTTAGGAGCAGTTTTCGGATGGACGGCTCTGTTGAGGAGGACGAGCTGGTGAGAAATGAAAGGAAGAGTTTTGGACATCTTATGCCACCTTTGCTCTCTGACAGCTCTAACTCTGTTTGTGGCCTCTATCCACCTCCTTCCCAGACAACTGATGATAAGACCAGTGGCCCTAAGAAATGTGAAACCAAGTCAATTGTGTCATCGTCCATCAGTACTTTTACATTGCCTGTGATCAAACTTAATAATTGCGTTATTGATGAGCCCAGTATAGATAACATCACTGAGGATGCTGACAACCTCAAAAGTAGGTCGAGGAATTTGTCAATGGACTCCCTTATGGTCCCTTTGCCCAATACCAGTCAGTCCTTCCAGCCGGTCAGTATGATGCTCCCAAGGAATAATTCCGTTGGGGAGTCACTGTCAAGTCAGTACAAGTCCTCTGTGGCCCTTGGACCTGGGGCTGGACAGCTCTTGTCTCCTGGGGATGCTAGAAGACAATTTGGGTCCAACACATCCTTGCATTTGCTCTCGTCACACTCGAAATCCTTAGACTTAGACCGGGGTCACTCCACCTTAACCGTTCAGGCAGAACAACGGAAACATCCAAGTTGGCCTCGGTTGGATCGAAGCAACAGCAAAGGATACATGAAACTAGAGAACAAAGAGGACCCGATGGAGAGGCTGCTTGTACCCCAAGCTGCAATCAAGAAAGACTTTACCAATAAGGAGAAGCTTCTTATGATTTCAAGATCTCACAATAATTTGAGTTTTGAACATGATGAGTTTTTAAGTAACAACTTGAAGCGGGGAACTTCTGAAACAAGGTTTTAATGTTGAAAAAATATCTTATTTTACAAGGCTATATATTCTAAACCTATTTTCACCAGTGTTCCCTTGTTAAAGCCTTGGTTATAAGCCTTTTTAATCAAATGGTTTGTAGTATATTAGACCTGGCTGCTTAATTCTGTAATGGAGACTTACAGATGTTTGGATTACTTAGGATTGCAGTACTCTATATTACTACATATGAATTTATTTTTTTCCATTCCCTTGAAAGCATGGGTTCTTTCATTAATATGAATACAAAATACTTCCATCCAAATTAAAGTTCCTATTCTTTAAAGTTCTTTCACTGATGGTCATATTCATAGAGCAAAGTGTCCAGTTTAGAAAAGGCAGGGTACCAAAGTGTAGACTAGAAGTGCCAAATTCAATGCAACTCTTAGGTGTCATTTTCTGAAAAATTGCTTTTATATAGGATTGGTTAAATTATTTAAAAGGAAAAAGATCTAGCTTCTGTGCAAGCTAAATAATGTGAATTGGGTAAATTGGCTTAGTTCTGAGTAGCTAATTGACAAGAATTGGTTGAGTTTGGTTGTGACTAGTACCCTGAGCTCTAGGTAGGTAGTATTTTTTTCAACATCAGTTCTATTTTAGTGATATTTTATTAAGAAACCATGTATTCAAGAGCCATGGCTGAGAATGCCAGATATTCTTAGGGGTAAATATCAGAATGCTCAGCTATAACTTTAGATATTCAGAATCAAAATTTCTTTTCAACTGACTTGAAAAATGAATGAACCAATTTAGTGTTTAGAAGTGCTATCTTGAAATAATTACATATATGAAGAAAAGATTGACTAATGAATAAAAATACATGCTAGTTAATGCTAACTAGTCTCAGTACCTTTTCCTAGCCGCCTCTCTTATCATCTAATATCCATTCAGTCCCACATCCTTGTTTTCCCCCAATATTTTTTAGATCCTGTTATTTGGAAGATAATCAGCTAACCTTGACATTTCTTTTATCTTTGCATATCACTAAGTTGGTGGTTGAAGAAAATTTAGTCCTGGATACATTGCCTTGAAATTTACCTTATGCTACAAAGCCTTATGGTAATTCCGAAGACTTTCTTATGGTATAATAGATATTTTGGATTGTGGTTCTCAGTTATTGAAGATAATAAATATCAAAATGGATTTTCCATCAGAAAATTTTCATGTTTTCCATTAAGGTAACCTAATTTTAAAAAATTGTTTGACCGAATACTCAGGAAAATTTACAAGTTTTTCCAATGCACACACATTTCTGAACATCAGTATTGCAGTTGTTGTGGAAGAGGAGAAGGAAGATATCTTTGTATTTGTAGTTTCCCACAATTCCACCTTGTATTAGCATCATGAGCTTCCCTGGACTGAGGCAGGGTGTTACTTGTTAGAACATCAAGCCTGTGTATTGTAATGGAGTGGGCTTAATATTTTACGATAAAGCATTGAATAAACCTCCAGTCTTAATACAAGTGTGTGTTCTTCATACATTTCTATTATTTTTTGAATAAAATACATTTCTGTTCAAAGTACCATTTTTCAAACTTTCAGATACATTCTACTGAAGGTGCTTGATACCCTAGCATCTGCATTGGGTGCTCTGGCTTTTTTCTTTTGCTTCTATTAGGTTAAAGAGCTAGGTCCATCCACCTGTTGTATTAAGCTATTTTCATATTTTGTTATTTGGATGTGATGGTTAATTTTATGTGTCAAGTTGACTGGGCTAAGGAATGTCCAGATTTCTAGGTGTGTCTGTTAGGGTGTCTCCCGAAGAGACTAGCATTTCAGTTGGCAGACTGAATAAAGATAATTGCCCTCGCCGATGCAGGTGGATCTAATCCAATCCACCGAAGGCCTGAACAGGACAAAAAGGCAGAGGAAGGATGAATTCCCTCCCTCTACTTGAGCTGGGGCATCCACTTTCTCCTGCCCTAGGACATCAGTGCTCCTGGTCTTCAGGCCTTTGGACTCAGACTGGGACTTACGCCATTGGCTCCCTTGGTTTCTTGGTCTTTGAGTTTGGGCTAGAACTACCACTTGCTTTCCTGGGTCTCTCTAGCTTGCAGGCAGATGGCAGAGAGTAGGATTTCTTGGCTCCAGAGCCAATCCTTCAAAATAAATATATGTGTGTGTGTGTGTGTGTGTGTGTGTGTGTGTGTGTGTGTGTAAATGTCGATCTATCTGTCTATCTATCTATCTATCTATCTATATAATCTTCTATTGGTTTAGTTTCTCTGGAGAACCCTGACTAATACACTTAGGATGATTTTCACTTAAAGTTTCATTGACTTTCAGGAAAATAACCAGATACATAGCATCTAGCAAATGTCAGTGATACTCCCAGATCTGAAAACAATGGCTCACAACACCCCTGATGTGACAAATGACTAAAGCCATATAATTTGTCCAGCTCACCCCTGAAAGAGCTCTAGCAATTTGAAGAGAATTAAACAGCATGGGTCTTGGAAGATTTGAATAAAGGAATTGGGAGCTCAAAGCAGAGATTTCTGTTCAGCCTCCACTCCATCAAAAAGCCTGAGTTTTTACTTACCAGACAAACCAAGTTTATTAAACAATAAATAATTTTCTTATTTTAAATTAATCAAAGACATGTTGCTAAGTAAAATTTTAGACGGATATGAAATAGCTGATGTCGCCATATTGACCTGATGTAATTCCACCCCAAAGCAATGGAACCTGGAATTTTAGTTAGACTGTATTTTGTACATTTCCCTTAGGCTTTTACAAATATTGCAGATTACTTATAAACTCCATTTCTTCCTCTGGGAAACCCCAGGAATCTGGACCATGAACTAGCTGCCTCTAGTCCAAAGAGTTTCTAAGGCCTGTGGCCTATTTGGGGTATACTAGTTTGCTCAGGCTACCATACAAAATACCACAGATTGGGTGGCTTAAACAATAGAAATTTATTTTCTCACAGGTCTGAAGTACAAGATCAAGGTATTTGGCTTGTCCTGAGGCCTGTCTTCTTGGCTTGCAGAAGCTACTCTCTCACTGTGTGTCTCTGGTGTATCTTTGCCTTATGACCACATCAGTCATGTTGGATTCAGGCCCTACCCTAGAGGCCTTATTTCACCTTAATTACCTTTTAAAAGGCCCTATCTCCAAATAGGGTTACATTCTGAGGTACAGGGGGTTAGGATTTAAACAACGAATTTGGGGTTGTGCCTATCACATGAGATGTGCCCTTGAGAAGCAGGAAAGCTGCGTGTTCTTAGCCTGGATTAGGTGACAAGAGCACAGTAATGCCCCCAATGGCTTTGCCACTCTAGCTGTGTAGCCTTGAATAAATCACTTCATCTCTGCATTTCAATTAATTCAATTTCAATTAATTTCTTAATTTCAAGGCTTCTTTCCTCAAGTGGGAAATGAGATGGGTAAGAACATAAATTATAAAGTCCTTTCTATTTCTAAAAGTCCCAGGTTCTTGGTGCCCTGGGATGAAGATCCATTGCTATAGATTAAATGGTTTGATGCTCACAGGGGATCCAGGATGGTGCCTGTGTGGGTCCAAAGCGAACACTCAACATATGTGGGCTATTACTGTCTGAAAGTGTCACCTAAGAGCTCTTCAAGCTTCACACTGCCCCCACCCTACCCCCCAAGTATATACCCCCTGTGGTAGGGTGAATAAAAGTCCTCTAAAAGTGTCCATGTCCCATATGGCAAAATGGACTTGCAACTCTAAGTTAAAGATCTTAAAGTGGGGGAGATTATCCTGGATTATTCAGGTGGGCCCAGTGTATTCACAAAGGTCCTTGTAAGAAGGAAGCAGAGGAGACGATGATGTGACCCAAGCAGCTAGAGAATGGAAGGCCAAGATCCTGGCTTTAAAGATGGAGGGAGGAGCCATGAGCCGAGAAATACAAGGAAGGAAGTTCTAGAAGCTGGTAAAACCAAGGAAATGGATTTGCCCTCAGCGCCTCTCTAGGAACCAGCCCTGCTGGTTGACATTGACTTGAGCGCAATGAAAATGATTTTGGACTTGCGGCCTCTGGAACTGTAAGAGAAGAAATACATGTCGTTTTAATCCACTATTTTTGTGTAATTTGTTACAGCAGCCACAATGCACTAATATTTTCCCCCAGTCCAGATGAACTGCTTCAGACCCATGAGCCAGTAGTCAGCAGACTCATAAGCAGGGTCAAAGGTGTCTATACTAGGTGATGGCAGGTGGCCCAAAGCAGAATGTATGGTATATTTTAGACTTACGTTAACACTGATAATCTTAATGTAAGTATAATAATTTAAACAAAAGTGGTAGAGCTTTTTTGAAGCAGGAAATACTGATTTTGATACATAATAAAAAATAGAAAGCCCTATAGTTGGCTTAGAAGTAACCATCGATTATAAAAGCTTTCAGGCTCAAATTAGTATTTCCACCTACATAATTTTAGAAGAAACAGTGGTAATCAGTAAAAATCATTAAAAAAAAAACAGTTTTAGCACAACTTTGTATCAATTTACTAGATGAAGATAAGTTTTTAGCTACTTGTTTTAGCAGTTCAAATTTAACCCTTTTTAATCATTACAGGAACACACCATGAATAACTAAAAGAAGTAAAATAGGTTCTTAAAAAAATCCGCCAGTTTACCAAAATTTTACTTATAGCATTTTAAATATTAAAACGTTGACCTGCCCAGTGGTATATATTCAACTGCTATGGTATTTAGATTGTTCAAAGATCTTAATCATTTGTTCCCTAAGTAGGAACCGTAAGAGCCATACACAGATTATTCTGTCTCTTACTTTCAATGAATTGCCCTGTTACTCTTCCCCCACCTTATATGTAATCCTGTTTTAGACCTTATGTCAATAATAGGGTACATAAACTTGATATAGGATCCCCATTTGATGATTTAAGTCCTTTGTGATCTGAATTCAAACTTAAATAATTCAGTTGGTTTCTCTCTATATGCTCTTTCTCCCAGGATGATGGCACCAGGGAAAAAAGGCCCACTTCACTGAAGTCCCTTTTACTCAATAGCTGATGTCATCTTGAAATAGTCATTTAAAAATCAAAGAATGAAATATTGCCATTTGCAGCAACATGGATGAACCTAGAGAATATCATACTAAGTGAAGTAAGTCAGAGAAAGATAAATGTTATATGATATCACTTATATGTGAAATCTATTAATTTATTTACAAAAGAGAAACAGACACACAGACATAGAAAACAAACTTATGGTTACCAAAGGGGAAGGCGGGGAGGACAAATTAGGGGTTTGGGATTAACAGATACACACTACTATATATAAAATAAACAAGGACCTACTGTATAGCACTAGGAACTATATTCAATATCTTGTAATAAG